CTATCTATCTATCTATCTATCTATCTATCTATTATCTCATCCTATCTATCCATCCATCCCTCTCTTCTATCTATCTATCTATCTATCTATCTATCTATCTATCTATCTATCTATCTATCTATTATCATCCTATCTATCCATTCATCCCTCTCTTCCTTCTATCTATCTATCTATCTATCTATCTATCTATCTATCTTATCTATCTATCTATCCATCCATCCATCCATCCATACATTCATCCCTCTCTTCCTCTTTATCTATCTACCTATCTACCTGTCTACCTACCTACCTATCTATCTATCTCTCCGACCAGCAGGAGGAGCACGGAGCCTAATTTTCTGCAATGGAGAAGACAAGACAGCCTCTCTCTCTCTGTCTCTCTCTCTCTCCCTCTCTCTCCCACACACACACACACACACATTCTTCTATTTAAATCCTGAGAACAAAAGGTCAGGAACATTTTCTGAACGTCTCAAAACAACACAATCCTTCTCACACTCCCAGGGCCGGAAAAGCCTCTCACCCATGTCCTGATTTTTATTATTTTATTTTATTTTTTATTTTGCAAAACACGGAATTCTTCGGAGCTGCTTTCCAAATTCTTTGCTCGCTTCTCATTTGGACGAAACAAGTCAGACTTGGTTGTGGAAGCGACGAAGAGAGAGAGAGAGAGAGAGAGGGAGAGAGAGCGAGCAAAACAGCTGCAAAAGAACATCTGGACCAGAGCCCCAGTTAAGAGTAAAATCTCCTGCCCTTAAAAGGATCTTAGCCTCAACGGGAAGAGATGGGGAAATTGCGCTTATTCAGCTCCACAAAGGACTTTTCGGCTCTTGGGAGTCCGTAAGCCACAAATCGATTATTTGGCTTCGGCCGGTTCCCCCAAAGCTGTGGTTTTCATACACTGTGACGGGGGAGGCCAGATGCTTCCCTGAAAACATGACCTACCCTGAAAGTAAGTCCTAGCTTGATTTTTACACGTCAGCCCAATATAAGCTGTGCACCCCAAAATAGGCCCTAATTAAGATCCCGCCCACTGCAGAGTTGCTGGCCACAGGAGAAGAAATTCCTAAAGGCCTCTCACAGTGAAAAGGAGCCCAGGGGTGATGCATGCAAGTGAGGTTACTCAGTGGATGACATGCCCCGAAAATAAGGGCCTCCCTCCTGCTTGGGCAGGGGGTTGGACTAGATGACCTACAAGATCCCTTCCGACTCTGATTATCTGTTAAGACCTGGTGCCTTTTTTTTGGTGGCAAAAAAATAGTATATAAGACAGGGTCTTATTTTGGGGGGAAACACGGTAGGTTAAAAGTGCATAATTGCTTGGAACAGGTGGATTAGGAGGAGAGAGAAAAAAAGAAACATTGCATTTTATTTCGCAAAATGGATCGTTTTCTTTTTCCCTGCTGGGCACCGTCGACTAAAATTGAGAATTTCTTTTGGACTCACCTCCTTTCTCTGCTGTGCTGGTTTCTTTCTCTTCTCGGTGCATCAATGCGCTGATCCAACGGGCCCTGTCGCTTCTGCACGGAGCAAAAGGGAGGGATTTGTGAGCGGGTCGGAATAAAATGAAACCCCTAAACCCTGGATTTTATGGGGTTCTGCAATTTGGATCCAGATTTTGGGGTGGGGGGGAAGAGAAATCTGGAAGATTTCCCTCTCTTTTCTCCCAGTTCAGAATAATATCTTTAAAAAAAAAAGAAAAAAAAGAAAAATATCTACCCTCAAGGCAGTGTCCCAAATTGGGTTCAAATTTCAAAATCTGCTCTGGGATCTCTTCGTGGTCTCCTATCTGGGGGGAAGGGCACAGGCTGGTTGGGCATTCAGAGGAAGAGCCAGGCCCATCCCCTCTTCATCCTAGGGCATGCAAGGAGGAGCAGATAAGGGGAAAACGTGAATGGTGTGGTCTGCGGGGAAGGAAGGGGCCCTGATCCCCTCCATGGGCTGCAGCTGTGAGGACTGTTTAAAAGGACAAATTGCGCATGGCCCAGTGCTGGAAGCAAAGCGTGAAATAATTCTAGTCTTTCAGTTCTTATCTGAGTTCTGGCCAGTGTGTGTATTTCGATATCAGTGGACATTTTCAAGCCCTTATCCTGCCTTGTCTCCTTAATTGCTTCAGTGTGGTTTGTGTTGCTTTTTCTATTTATAATTTATCTGTATTTTGAGTTTGAACGGCATTTCTTCCTTTTCACAACTGTTTGTGGGAGAGTTTTTTTTGTCTCCAGTCGATGATAATAATTGGACCTTTGAAGCCAAGTTGAAGGAATTAAACTGTTTTTGTGACTTTGTTGTTTTTGTATTCCATCCTGGGTCATCACAAACTGTTTCAGCACCGGTCAGTTGCCGAGTTTTTTCTCGCTCGGCATACTCACCGTGATTCTGCAGCCAGGACGACTTCCTCCGGCTTGCCTTCATTGTCCTTTCGCAAAGTGAGTTGGAAGAGGTAGCCGCTGCGACCGAGGCCGGTCGGACTGTCCGGGGTTTCGATCTTCTCGACCGTGAGATGTTCCAACATGGAGTAGGTGAGGACAGCATAGCTCTCCTCGCTGATCCAGAAGAGGAAATAAAAAAAAAAAAATCAAAAAAGGGGAAGGAGTTGAGTGACGGATGCAATTTTTATCGCATTTTAATGCAAAATTTATATCATTTTACGCAAAAAAACAACATTTTTCTCCAAGGGGAGAAGGGGATCCTGGGAGTTTCCCCATGCAGGGCATTCTGGGAAATGAAGTCCACACAGGGGCGAGTGCAGAAAGCTGAGTGACGAAGAACAGGCAAGTGTGCAAATTGTGTATCGAGCTAGTAGGTTATAATAATGACGTATTATACTTGAGTCTTTTTTCTGTATTTTTAAAACTTTTTTTAAAAAGCACTCAATGCTTTTTTCCCTCCCCTTCGAGAACATACACACAAATATGTAACGGCCATGGGGTGAAAAAAGGGTCGTAAATATTATTTTTTTCACTGCCATCGCTTTGAACGGTCACTAAACGAACTATTGTAAGTTGAGGACTAACTGGAAATAACTTTGCCTCCTCCTCCTCCTCCTCCTCCTCCTCCTTCTTGTTACTATTACTATGATGATTACGAATGAGTGATCAATGGACGGTCAGGAAGAGTCAAGGATTTTTTTTTTGCGCTCACCTTTTTTTCTTGGTGATGATCAGGACGTCGTTGAAGACAAAGAGGTAGCAGATTCCCCGCCCGGATCCCTTCCGGAAGATTCCGCCGTCTTCGGTTGGAGGGAGACAGACTCGGCCCCTTTTCAACAGCCAGCGGGAGGTTGAGATCAGTGGGAAGTTCTGAAAGAGGCAGAAGGTCGGTCCGGCTAGGCTACGGGGTCCAACTGTCCACCGAGACCATAAGACACAGAATCCCCTGGAAGGGACCTTGGAGGTCATCTAGGCCAACCCCCTGCTCAAGCGAGAGACCCTCGACCGTTCCAGACCAATGGCTGCCCGGCCTCTTCTTAAAAGCCTTCCAGTGATGGAGGCACCGCAAATCCTTCCATTGATTAATTGAACCTATTCCCACCCCCGTTGCCTTTGTGAGCAAGGTTTGCGAAGTGAGCCAAGCTTGAGCCACAAGAGTTTCCTTCCCAGAACCCCTTGGGTGGAAAGATCTCACCTTGACTTTGCCAAAATCCAGCTGGTTCTGCAGACTGCACATCTGTTCCGTCCTTTCCATGGTGTGAGCTCCTTCGTTGCACTTCTTCACCACCTGCCAAGACAAACGAAAGAAGTGATGGATGGATGGATATATATATATATATATATAGTATAGTCAACTCATAAAATATTTCCATGGTCTTTTTAGAGTGTCTAACAGAAAGGGTGGGGGGAGAAAGGGGTTTGAAAGAGCAGTGCGGCAGCTTGGAAACTGAAAGCGCATTCCATCAATAGCTTTTCAAAGGTAGTAACTAGGCGACTGAAGCTTCTGCCGGGCAAAATTCTAACTGGAGAGAGCATAATGGATGACTCTGGGCTATGGACGGGTCCCATTGGAGAATATGAATTATGATACACCCAGAGGGTGGGGTGGAACCAGGGTCAAGGGTGATGATGAATGATGTGTCTCAGAGTCGGCTGCACCCAGGCAGTGCCTGACATGTTAACTCCCAATAAATCCTTTGGAAGTTTGGCTCGAGACTCAGGATTTCATTGGGGGGAACTGCCGGAATCCTGACATATATTTCATATAAATTTATTATTATATGCTATACATATGTATATACTCTGAGAAGCACAGAGCCGAAGACACAAGCCTGAAGATGATGAATGAGGCTTCATCGAAACGTTGCCTAGATAGTTCCAATCTTACGCGGGAGAAAACCCATATATATATATATATATGTGTGTGTGTGTGTGTGTGTGTGTGTGTGTATAAAAAATAAAAGTAAGCCAAACTCCCATTAAGTCACCCAAAGCTATTCTTGTTTTCCTTTCCCTTCTTCCCCAAAAGAGCCAATTTATCCCTCCAAAAAAAGTCATTTCTCTCTTTTCCGCACCTGTTGGGAGGACCTACCTTGCTGATGGCCTTCAGAGCTTGCGTGGTGGCTCGGTATGCAGCTGTGTTCACTGGGGTTTTTTGACAGACGGTCTGAAATGGGGGGAAAAAAAGGGGGTTCTTTCAATGTCCCCCCCATTTTACAGATGTTTGCAATGCCTCGTTTGTGGCTCCTGATGGGTTCAGGGCACATCTGGCGTAGCAGGGTGCCAAGAACCAGCCAAAATGTTTGGATATCTAAGGGACTTCTGGGTTTGGGTAAATATACCACTGCTTTGACACTGTAAGGTGTTTTTCCTATTTATTTTCCTTCCTTCCTGTTTTCCTTCCTTCCTCCCCTCCTTCTTATCTCTTCCTCCCTTCTTGCTTTCCTTCCTTCCTTCCTTCCTTTCTTCTTCCCCTCCTTCCTATCTCTTCCTTCCTTCTTGCTTTCCTTCCTTCCTTCCTGCTTTCCTTCCTTCCTCTCCTCCTTCCTATCTCTTCCTTCCTGCTTTCCTTTCTTCCTCCCTTCCTCCCCTCCTTCTTATCCCTTCCTATCTCTTCCTGCCTTCCTTTCTTTCTACTTTCCTTCCTTTCTTCCTTCCTCCCTCCCTCCTTCCCTCCCTCCCTTCCCAGTTTCTGTACTTTCCTTTGCTAATCTACTAACCATACTCTTCAAATGTATTATTAAATAATGTGTTAACTTAGTATTACTCTCCTAAAATAAATTTTTGCTCCAGACCAGGGGTTGGACTAGATGATCCCCGGGTTCCCTTTCCACCCTAAGATTCTATGCTTATAAATCATATATTTAGAACGCTAGCAGGATCTTAACATTTTCTATGGAATGAAAATGATCGGATGAAGCAAACAAAATGCGAGCCAGGGACCCGTCACGGCTGCGCGGGCTGGAACCGTTCCTCCCTGAGGACTAGCGGCACAGCTCGTTCCCGAGGCTCGGAGAGGAGAGGGCCGAAGACCCCCGGTTTCACTCACATCCAAGAGGAGGGGCAGCCGTGTCACCCTCTGCATGGGGAGGATGAGGAAGGAAATCAGGGGCAGGCTGCCGCATTCCGGCATCCGTTCAATCCGCTTTAAGGACTCCTTAAAGGCGACGTTGGAAGCTCTAAAAACAGAATTGGAAAAAACAGGATTAATTTTTTTCCCCCTCCACAACCAAAAAGCCATTTCAGGGGGGGAAAAAAAACCCCAAAACCTTTTCTGGACAAGCCTTCTCCTACGACAGCACCCTCCTTTCTTTTAAATCAATTGATCAATCCGAATAGAGCCGGAAGGGACCTTGGAGGTCTTCTAGTCCAACCCCTGCTCAACCAGGAGGCCTTTGACCATTCCAGATAAACAGCTGTCCATAACGGAGACTCACCCCTTGCATACCTTGTCCAGTTTTTCAACAACAACAACAACAATGCCTCCAGTTACCCTAAACTTTAGCAGGATTAAATAATTAAATTGTCCCATCTTGTTCTTTTCCCCCCCCGGGTTGCAAAATCGGGATTTGGAAAACGGCTGCAAAATTGTAGCCTCGCTCGTCCAAGAGTCAAAGGGGTCCCCACTCAACTCACAGGAGCTTCTGGAGGGTTCTTTGCTGGTAGACCTCGTTGGAGCAGTAGATGACGTAGGGGTGGAAGTGTCTGGAGGCGTGCGCTTCCACCACGTCGCTGATGTCCGGAATCACCACGTTTTCCCGGTGCCTCTTTTCCAAATCTTCAAAAAAGCTAGATAGACACACACACACACACACCCAAAATAAATCTCGTGAGAAGCTCACAATCATCCACCCTACAATGAAATCCTTAGCAGGGATATCGGGCACATATTATCACATGTGGTGGAAGTGCCCGAAAGCAAAATAGTAATAATAATTGGATGAAAATTTCATACGTGGTTAGAAAAATAAATAAATTCTAAGACAGCATATAGATTATAAGATGGAACTATTTCTCTTAGGCAGAATACTGGAAAAACACGATAAAGGGAATTTATAGTTGATATGACATGTTTTGAGAGCAGCAAGAATTGTCTGAGCACGACACTGGAAGAAGGAGGAAACCCCGACAGAAGATGATATCATTAAACAAATACTAAACGGTGCAAAAATGGACAGACTAACACTGAAGATAAAAGAAAAGGAAGACACAGAATACGACGAAACGTGGGATTTGTTTTATCCATGGTTGGGTAACAGAGGTAGAAATTAGGATTTAAAAAAATATTACTACCAGGTTTCCCCGAAAATAAGGCCTTGTCTTATATTTCTTTCTTTGCTACCAAAAAAAGGCACCAGATCTTATTTTCGGGGAACGTCATCCACTGACTAAACCCCAGCCTTCTTCCCTCTGCCCTCTAAAACTGACCTCTTGCTGACCGCCAAGATGTCCCCCACGTTGGAGAAGAGGTGATGATGGTCCATCTGGGTCATGGTCTCCTTCAACTCGGCTGATTTCAGGAAATGCTCCACCAGGATGGTCAGGCTATGGAGGTAGGAGTACTCGGAGGTGATGATCTCAAAGATGGCCTGTGTCGGAGCGGGGAGATAGAGAGAAGATCCATGAGGGGGAAGGTGGGCAGAAGGATGGTTTGTTGGCGGTTCGTTGAGGTTGGTTGGGAGAAAGAAGCCAGTTTGCATGTCTAAGTGTTAACTCGTAAATCATTCCTTAGGCCTTTTTCCGAGTTGCCATAAGGAGGAGCGGGCAAGGCCTGAGGGAGCGTAGATGAAGGCCGGAAGCACATTCCACGCTTATCTTATGGAGGTTGTAGCCTAGGCTACTGGATCTTCTGCCCACAAAAAACCTTCATTGGAGAATGAGATTGGTGACACCCAGCCCGTGAACGTGTTTCGGTTGGAGAATCTGATTTACGACACACCCAAGGTGTCAACTAAAAAGATATTCCTGTCAATTTTCTTTTCTCTTGAGATGCGGCTAGAGACTTTTGATTTGAATGAGGGTGGATTTGTTGGACCCCTGACACAAGGAGGTGTGTGTGTGTGTGAGGGGGAACAGGGTCATAGGTGATACTAAATTACGTGTCTCGGAGTTGGCTTCATAGGAGTTAGTGCCCGCCATGTTGCTCCTAATAAAGATGTTGGATTCTTTTGAAGCTTGGCTCGAGGCTCAGGATCGAATGAGGGCAATCGTCGGAACCCGGACACTAAGCTAGAATCAGTATTGTGGTGGGTCTTAGAATGAAGCCGTCATTGTTAAATTGGAGTTAAGGAGAAGCTGTGTTGGAAGAACCCAACATTGTTTCTCAACCGTGGTGACTTTAAGATGGGTGGACTTCAACTCCCGGAATTTTGGATGGGTGGATAGACTCTCAGAATTCCCCAGGCTGGCTCTCCATCTTTCTGTAGCTCTCCCACCCACCCCAAATTTGGCCCCTTGTGGGATTCTCCTGGTGACCGTCAGATCTCCAAGGCCTTTTCCATCCCTTCTTTGGAACGTTGAGTTGGGTTGAAGATCATGAAAGGCCACCAAAGACGCTTCAACATTCTCAAGACCTCCCTGTCTCCCAAGGAGATGGGTGGTCCATATCACACCTTCGCTCACCTCTTGCCTCTTACGTTCTTCCGGGGATATACGGTCCAAGATGCCGGCTTCCAGGACCTGAAGAAGACAAATTCAAGAAATGTTCTCCTGATATCCTAATTCTTCGTTTGCGGGTCTGACGAAAAAGTTCACCAGAGAAAAAAAAGAGGTGAGGAGATGGGCTTGAAGAAGGACCCTCCATGCTGTAGAAGTTCAGTCCAGGTTCTTCTCCCATCAGGACCCACCAAGAACCCTCCAAGAAGTTCTAGAAGAACTTTTGGAGGCCTTCAACTCCTCTGTTCCACTTTGAGCTCTCCAGATGTGCACATTTCAATCCTCAGCTCTGGGGAGGTGAAGACTTCACATCTGGAAAGTCCACACCTGGATAGGGGACAGGGTCAGCCACATAAACTTAAGTTTCTTGAAGCCTCCAGATGGGTTATCCTACAACCTATCCTATTCCCTATGTTCTACTTTTCTTGCAAATCATCCCAAGCAAACTGAAACTAATATCCTAAAAATTTAGGAAACGGGGGCGGGTGGGGTCGGAAGGAAAGTGTTGGGCCTGTTTTACAAAATAAAAAATAAAAATAAAAGAAGAGGAACATTTTATTCCACGAGAAACTGGGCAAAGGGAACGACGAACCACGAAACAGGGAGCGGCCTGGGATAAGGCGTGTGTAAATTAGAGGCAGTCACGTACGTACCTCACCTTTGTGTGTGTGTGTGTGTGTGTGTGTTTGTGTGTGTGCGTGTTTAATTACACAGCCACGCACACATCCGGGAATTTCCAAAGCTTTTGAGTTTCTTATTGCAACATTGGGAACAAAATGCAAAAGCGGCATTTCCTCCTGGCTGATTCAGGCAACGGGGTCAATGGGCGAAGTTCTCCCTGCGATGCCAACGATTTTTTTTTTTTACTTTCTTTGAAAAGGTTGCAGGTTGGTGGCTTAAGAGAAATCCGGTGTGTGTTTATTTGGTTTGTGTGTGTGTGTGTGTGTGTGTGTGGGTGTGTGTGTGTGTGTTCCCTCTGCATTTCCGCTGCCCGTTTGCACCTCTGCCTTCTCCAAAGACGAGAGGGCATTTGCCAAGAGTCCTATATTTTATTTTAAACATATAAAGAACGGCGGCTGGAATTGGGTTTGTCTAAAGTTCTCGAACTCAGAGAGTTTAGAATTTAGTCAATTTTGAAAGGAGAAAAATTTGGGATGTAGTGAATTTGGAGTTTAGCATTTGGAAGAATTCAGAATTGAGAGAGTTTAGAGTTCAGCGCGTTTAGAATTCAGAGAATTTAGTGAATGGAATTTAAAGAATTTGGAATTTAGAGAAGTTAGAATTTGGTGCATTTAGAATTTATGGAATTTAGAATTTATTGAATTTGGAATTTAGTCAATTTAGAATTTAGTCAATTTAGAATTTAGAGAAGTTAGTCAATTTA